CAGTTACGCGTTACCTGCAGCGCCATCTAGTGCTGCAAGTATCAGAATTATTAATCACAATCTCAATAGTTGTACTTTACGTGATGCTAGATGAGGCTGTCCTCCACATTCCATACAATTCTGGAACAATCGAACCATTTAATCCTGTGGCGCAACAATAATATCGATAGAAGTTATTGATGAACAGTCACAATTCGGTTTGCCGTTGAAGCAGGTCTGTGCTTGTAGAATAACGGGTGCCTTCGGTTGTGATGAGGCGTTAAGTGAGAATGTGATCAGTTTTGTTTTGGAAGTGTTCAGTGTCAGTGAGTGTGAGATCAGCCATTTATAGATGGTGTTGAATTCATTTAGAGCTGTAGTTTGTGTTTGTGACCATGTCTCGCCATAGAAAGTATTAGCAGGTCGTCGGCTAAGGAAATGATGGATGTTTGACAAAGGTGAAATGTAGACCAAGAATAAAGTAGGGCCAATACATCACTTAAATATTTGTCAATTTTTACTCTGGGCGAACGATCAGTGAGGTAGGATTTAAAGAGTTGAAGCTGGATATCTCTAAATTTGGAAGATCGTTGAAAAGCAAGAGGGACCGTATCAAACGCTTTTGCAAGATTAAGTAACACTGTAAGCAAGGAACACTCTCTTATGTTGGTTAAGTCTCTCTACTATTCCATTTACAACTTCTAAAGCTGCAGAGAAAGTTTCATTTTTGTAAAGCCGAACTGATTCTGGGACAGTAACACATTAGACTTCAGATGATTAATAAGCCTCTTATCATTAGACGTTGTAAAGTTTTTATGTGATCAGCAAGATCCTTTCCAATATTCACAAAGAACTAATTAACCTCGTTAACAGATTGAGAGTAGGCTTTGGTAGAAGGGAATAGCTCTGTTGATGTACGTTTATTGTTGTACTGTGTGTTACGCGGTTTACAGTATCCCATATGAATGTAGTATTAGTACCAGCTTTGCATTACTCCTCCGCATCAAATTGTCGTCTCACTTTATCCAAGATTTTGTTACAATAATTTCTATATCTTGTTATTAATACTAATGAGTTAGGTTCGTTTTATTTTCTCGGTTAGTAAACAAATTCTGGGTACAATAGATTGTTCGTAGAAGTTCAGTAAACATTAAGAACCTTTAGTATTACATTATAAATGGGCACCACAGTACCAGCCAACGACTTGCACTGATATTCTTGTGGCATTCATTCTTGTGGATAGGCATATAGGACGGTTAGCACTGAGGCTTTGCCGGTGTTGGTGGGTGTGCTTCCGGTCGATCTCGAGGTGCAGAGACGTGCAGCCATGTACTATTCAAGACAACAAAACATGGAATGCGATTTTTTGGGCGCGCGGGATCGCGGTGAAATTACAAGATTGCTTCAACAGCAGCCCGATGTCTATAATGACCTCATAGACGAATGGCAACAACGCTGGGATGAATCATCCAAGGGGCGCCATCTTTACCAATTCTTTCCATCTGTTCGCGAACGGTTGTCGAGGATATGGCTTGAGGTGGATCACTGTGTCGCTCAATTTCTTACGGGTCATGGTAACTTTAAGAGCAAGCTTTCTTCATTTAAATTAGTCGAGTCACCATTGTGTCAATGCTCAACACCTAACTCTCACTATGAACAGTCTGCTCATCATATCCTCTGGGAATGTAGTCTTTGGTATAATGAACGTAATATAATGCTGAATAGCTTGCAAGTGACATCTGGGGCGGTATACTATGGGGATCTTGTGTCAACTAGGGTGAATTTCCGTGCGTTTAGGCGATTCTGCCATACATATTATAGAAATCAAACATAACTCACGTAGGACCCGTAATATTTGTGGCCGTGGTGCTTCCCTGTTTAAAAGGGTGTATGCCCATTTTTACTTCATTTTGTCTCCCGCTTTGCTAAGGAGGGAAGCGGATTTACTGTATTTCCAACTCCTCCAATTTTCTTCTGATTAATTTCGTTGCGGGTTCCAAGACAGTTTAATTTCTTCCTGGGACTGCCCGAGTGTCATAACTCGATGTGTTCGTGGGTCACTGCTGTGGATCCTGGTGTACAGGAGTTACAGTGCTGGGCGTGTGGGTGGGATTAGTCCCATAAAAAAAAAGTACCAGCTTCTCCCTCTGGACCGTATCCAAAGACGAACAAATCGAATCGTCGATAGCCAAAAGATTTGTGATCATGGAGAGTGCTCCGAGGCATTGTTCGGACTAAAACCAGCCGCAACCTTCCGCGATCGTTCCACAAGTTGCAGGCGTTTATTGGCGGCGCTAGTCGCTTTCCATCAGGTGACCCGTCTGCCCCCTATTCCATAAAAAATGAACGGTTTGTCGAAACATGTAGTAAAATATTAATTAAAGTTTAAATGTCAGCAAATTAGTAAAACATTGTATCGACGTTTTGCTCATTTCCTGACATTTGCACTGCAAATTCGGTGTATTGGTACATCCCCATAGATGTAGATGTAGTAGATGAACCAGCAATGATGACACGTTGTTACTGATAGCGAATAGATTTATTGCAGTTATTACAGCGTTGTAGTTACATAACAACACATTAGTACGAGAGATGAAGTAACCAGGCCAGCACCCCGCACTTGCGGGATGGCGGGGTGAAAGGGGTATCTTCCCCACTTGAATCCCTACTAAAATTTGTAATTAATTATTTATATATCTTTAAACAAAGGTAACATAATTTATGAAACGAGTAGGTATGGTATTTATAGCTAAAATTATTATTTTGAATTTTATTTTTCAATAAAATCGATTAAATGGTTTTAAATTGAATCAGCAACGTGTTGGGACCAATTTTTAATAAGTTGCTGTAGGTATCTAGTTTATAACTACTGCAATTTAGTTAATTCCTATTTTAAAAAACAGTGTGTGTTGAGAAGCAAAAAAGAGGAACAGAAATATATTAAATTTTAGTAGCCGAAAACCCAAAATTTTACATCAATACGGTACAAAGGGCGCATTGGACATGTAAGTCGACGACTCAGTTATTTAAGTTGCTATCTCTTGTTTTGCTCACTACTTCCACGAACTAGACCAGACGCTAGACTTTGATTGACATGACATTATCCATAAGTCTTTGAGGCCCTAGGGTGTGACAGAACGTGTAGGCTGCCAAAGATCCTTAAAATGGAATCTTGAAATAAGCGTTTTCAGATGGAACAAAAGGTCAGGAAAACGGATTGGGCGAGGTACCTGAGGTAAATAATATTGCAAATCACAAGCCTTGGATGGGAAACAGGCCTGAAATTGCAGTAACGTAAAGAGCTACTGAAAGAACAATGGCAGAAACATATTTACCTAAAACTAAAGCTTTTAAAAAATCGAGTCACGGTAAAGTTAATCAATAGTTTTTCTACGATTTATCATTACAACACCACGTGTTGTATAAGTCTTATAAGAGATCGGATATTTTTGAAGATTTTATTTGACTAAGTAATAATGTAAAAATGTCAGATTCGCCATCACGTATAAATCACTAGGGATGCGTGGTGGCAATATTATATTTTGGAACGTTTTATCGATAATCGATTCTTAAAGCTTTGGCTGAAATATTTACCGAAGGTTCACCTATTATGATTTTGAATTAGCTTCTGCCCACGGCTTCACTCGTACGGTAGAGTGGCTGAATCAACATAATTAGAAATAATTTAGAATATTTTTGACTCTCTTTAAATGATTTTAAACACACTAAAGAAATCGAATATAGTTACGTTATTTTCTGACGTAAAAAATATACACTACACAGTGTCATGAGAAAAATACATTGTCATTGATAACGGCACATAAATAGACATACATCGATATTTTCAAAATATCAATACGTCGTCTTTTAGATCTTGTCAAGTTCCGGACTCACCACGTTTGTTATTTTATTTTTGTTCCATTTAGTGTTAAACTCGCATAGATGTTATGTTTTACTTTTTTTTATTTCATATACTGTAATAATACTAAAAATAATATTTTCGGCTATCGAGTCCTCGTTTATTTATTGCTAGGTAAATCGTCCAGGTAAGTTAGATACATAATGTCTTAACATATTCGATTGATTGCGTGGGTAATATTATATGATATTTTCAAATATTAGTATTGCATAATAAATTAAAAGATAAAAGAATGTAAGTAGAGCACACAGTATGTCAATTTTATTGCCTTTTATTTTATCACCGGGGTTGCCACTTGAAGTTTCTACCTCTCTATCTGCCACGAATATTATCTATCAAGAATCATATGATGTAGGCACTTTTGTAACAAAACTACGCAGTACTACTGTAGTTGTCTGTTTAACATGGTTTTGAATTTTTTTATTAAATAAATCATAATATATTAATAAAAAAGTTCAAAATTACGTTGTGAATTATAAGTTTTTTCTTCTTTCAATTGATGAACATTATATTATTCGATGTGCCATGTGACAAAATTGATGAATGTGGGCAAAGGGATCGCACTATATTGTACCGTTCTTATGGTAACTGGGCCTTATTTTGTAGTCACTGTAATGTGAATGTTACTTTATTTGAGTATCTTAAATAATAGGCGACTAATATCGTTCGTATTGTAAGTTTTTAAAGACACACTAGAAGAACACTAACAATAAAACATGCTTAGAACATTGATCAATTTAATTAGATATTCAACAAAATAGTAGTGATTTTAAACTACAATTCTCGCCCCCAACCCATGGTCTCAGAGTGATTCGAAAATGCAAACTATTACTAATCAAAACTTAAAAAATACTTAAAAGTTAAAATTTCATAAATGTTTTCTTTTTATGTTCCATCCCACGGAAAGTTCATTTTGATGTGATGATTTGAAGTCTACAGGCCTAGTACGAGTTAATGTCGCATCACTTCGATGTTAAAGGCGGCGGCTGCGTTTGGCGCTTTTTTTTTTTGACCAGACCCTGACCCGCACTGAACTATTCACCAATCCGTTTTTACCAACTTTCAAAAAGAAGGAGCTATTCGACTGTATGTATGTTCTTCATTACAAGTACATCATAACAGTAATATTTCTAATGACAGTAGACACGGCCTGAAAATATAAAAAAATATTTTGAGGTAAGTAATAAACATTATTTGCAAATTAATAAAAATATATAAATTAATAATAATAAAAAAAAGAATCTGATTGACGTATTAATTAGTGCACCTACTCCCGTGTCAGTCATTTACTATAGGCTTTAGACTATTTTAGGCTCACGAGATGACTCATCTCAAGGATTTTTGAACTTTAATATGACCTGTTAATTATTAATAATTGGCAGATTTCAAATAGTAATGATATTAAAATGATGATGCTAATAAAATGGTTCAAAGTACAAAAGTTATCAAGGCAAATAAACTGAAATGAATTGAACTTGTTTCAATACTCACCGCCACTAAAGTAGTCCTATTAAACGTCAATAACTGACACGGACTAAAACTGACGGGATTTAGCAAGATATGCAGTTTGAACAGTTTCAGTTCATATCTGACAGCCGCAGCTTCTGGTCCAGTGTAGCGCAGCAAGTTATCAACTAGATTCCTGGTGACCAAGAGCTAAAACAAGAAAACAGTACAACTACATGACTAAAAAGTTTTTATGTATTTAAACATGCAACACGTATCTTCAATCCTCTCGATAACGGCTCAATTGAAAAAGAAGATTTTCAAAATAATAAACACCGACCTCGGTAGCCTCAATTCTTGAGGCTGTGAATTTATAACTACTTAAGGACCTAATTATTTATGGAATATCAAGTACCTGTTCATGTGTTCGATGGCAGGGCTCAACTACGGTCGCAAGAATCATAACGGAGAACAAACAAAACACGAAATTAAATACACATTTAGTAGTAGGTATTTCCGATCCACTCGTATCTAGAAAAATAATAATCGTGTAAAGCAACTTATTTATTTATTGGAATCCTGAACTTACTTTTATAAAATGTAAAATTTTGGTATAAATTTGAGATTATTTCATTCAATGCTAGATTAAACAGACCTATTCGTGACTTATATAGAAATAATGTCTCATACAATGATCAAGACAAAGTAAACTTTTCAAACGTAAAATTATAAGTTTGTAATCACAACTAATTTTGTTTTATTGTTAGATAACAACAAAGTAATTCTGGGTATTTTTAACTATGTTTGTAGTCCCACACGTTAATATAAACAAGTAATTTCTACTCGATATCTCCTTCACGTATTAGTAATACTGAGGGAAAATTCTTTGACAGACCAACAATGAAATGGCAAAGGTCCTTTACAATTTTCAAAATAATTAAAATGCTCATACATAATACATTGAACATGCTGTATGGTGTAGTGATCATAAACGAGAAGCTGAATAGAAGCGTCGCCAAGAGTGCGCACCCTTCGCTGATATTCAACCGTCGTAGTATATCGCACAGAGAGCAGTAGATAATTCCCAAGTATCGAATTTTGTCTGTATTTGAGGATCCTGCCAGAAGGAAAAGAAACAAGATAAGTACAAAATAGAATATTTGTAGAAAATAAGAATTAAATTTATTACCAAAATTGTCAACAGGTTCTTCTTATAATAATTTAATTGAAACATAATATTATATAGAATACAACTAACGAAAAGAGCCTGCTGATGTCAGGTTTTACAAAGGCTTCCTACCCTGGGTATGGCCTGTCTCGCGTAAGAAGACTTAATATTATCGATTACCACGTAAGAGAGCAAACTACGCAGGACAACAGCACTGTAATGCTCACTTGACACAAGCCCTATACCAACCCGTCTGGCCAGCGTGGAATAATAGGCAAAAACCTCCTTTCTAAGGAGTTTATGATGGATGTTTATGTCCAGTAGTAGACAAATTGAGGCTGTTGACGATGATGAAGAATTGTCTCGAGTAGTGTAACAGGAACGCTTAGAAGTGAGATAGATCTATAATAGTTATAATTATTTGTAGGGCTGCTTTGTGAATCAGAGTAACAGTAGCTGTTTTCCATACGTCAGAGAAATTGCCTGTTGAAATCGAAAGGTTGTTTATGAGTGTTAGTGGTTTAATAATAGTTTCCAATCGATTTCACAAGATGATTAGGAATTCCATCCACTTGGAAACTTATTTCGTGTATTATGTTTTAACTATTACTTGAAGTATGTTATTTATGGTAGTCGTGGAAAAAAAGAAACAAAGATATAACTTTTATTAGTTTATAAGTCAGACAGGGAAACTGATAAGCCTTATTAATAAAATTTAAAAAATTCTGAAGTCTTCCATAGCGATCCAGTTATTTAGAATGAGTTGCAGATGTCAGAACTACACTTTCATGACGCTTTTATGATAAAATGAGTTATTTTCATTACAAAATATTTAATTATATTAATTATTGTAATATTAAACATAATATGTATTAAAAAGATAATATATGAATGTTCTAGAACGTTTATTAGCCTGGTTACTCCAATACAAGCTCTGCCAAGTGTGAGATGTGTCAATTTATTGTTTTTGTTATTTTGTTGTAATATTTTTTCAGATGCTTACCTCCACTCCCTATTGTTGGCACTAAATCTAGGACACAAGTTACATAACGAGGTATTATATTAAGTATTTCCATTTGATTATCGTTGTCTGTCCATCCATCTTTTACGAGCAAAGATACTGGCTCTGATCTTGATTCCAAATTTGAAATTGTTACTGAAAAATAACAATTAGAAGTTACCTAAAAAGCAAACAAGTTTTTGAACACTAAGTCTTGCGTCAGAATTTTATATTGGACTGCGATGGTTTTCAGTTTTATTGGTACTTTACTTTTTTATTAGAATTTTCAAATTCTAATAAAAAATTTCGCTTGCAAAAATAGCCTGACTTTAATCTGTCTCTCCGAATCGTTGGAGACACATTCTTCCAAGCAAACAAGCCGGCTTAACGGGAGTTTCACTACAGTCTCACTAAAATCCAGTGTTAGGTAATTCTTTAGTTGTTTTAATCGAGTCAGTGAGATTGAAACCGTTGGAGGAGACAGAACCTCTCCCTCTTTTCTAACTCTATTGGAGATGGGCCATTAAAGAGCTGCAATACCATTGTGTCGCTCAAGTTGTAGGTCTCCATGGGCGTCGGTAGTCACTCAACATCAGGTGATCGACTGCTTGTCTTCCATAACAAAACAAAAATCATGATTTCCAATTTAAGGTTCTCCGAAGTTAAAGGATTTTAAGAAAAAATAAAAGATTTGGCAGTCGCCATAAGGTTATTTTTTGTACAAAATCTGTCTGACACATGCATGTATATTTTCTACAGCGCTATGATGTATAAACGAATAGTTATATATCTGTATTTATATCCCAGAGTAAAAGGAGAAAACTTAGAACAAATGACTAGAGAATTAGTATGCGTTTAACAATTGATATTTTGTAGCTGTTGTATCTTAAAGGTATCTAAAAACATCCTCCTACCTATTGTACAGCTTTTTTTTTATAACATAGAGGGCAAATAAGTCAAATCAGTGCACGTTCCATAAAATAAAACAAACATTGTCTCGCTGAACTTACGGAAAAATAAAATATAAACTTTTTATGCAACGTGTTTCATAACGTCTTAATAATTTTTAAACGGCTAATTGAGATTTTAGTGCAGCAATCGATTTTCGCATTTCTGAAGTAATAAACTAAGAACAGTAAGGATACGTGCTTACCTTCGTTACGTATCTCATGAAGTATGATCTTCAAGCTGTTATTAACACGCTGAAGAGTTGACACCACCAGCATAACGACCATTGCGAATTTAATTGCGTACAAGTGCACAATAAGACTGAATAAATATATCGTTATCAGTGAACAGGACAGAAAGCTAACTGAAATGAAATGTTGACAAATAAACATAAATACGTACACCACACCTTAATCACTTCCTGTATAGGTAGAAATGATAGCGCGCCATTTTCCACGAGCCTGACATAAAGTTCACGTCTCTCCTACATTCATCGAACCTTTCGTATACATTAAGTACATTGGCGATCTGGTCAGTGTAGCACCTGACCTGGTCAGTGTATGTCCCTGGGCGCTGTCCGCACTCATAAGGCCCAGGAGACATATATTGTGTTAGTCATTCTCTCTTTGCTCATCTGATCAGCATGCCCAAAAAATTGCAGCATCCCTTTCTCATTTATTATCACTACATTGTCTTTCAACGGTGACCTTGTTCTTTAATTCTAAAATATAATACCATAATTTCAATTGGTTGTAATTTACGAATGCAACCAATAAATGAGAGCAGAGAACTTGAAATCTCTATCTCTGGTGTCATTAATCTGTGTGATCGTTGTTAAGAGGTTGATCTTTCGAACATACGTGGATTAACTATTAGTATTTTTAAGAAAAAAACAAAGGTAAGCACTTTGAAAATAACGGCTTCTTTATATTAAATGTTTAATTTAGTCTCAATTAAACAATTCTTTTAAGATCTTAAAACAACATGGGATGCCTAACCACACAGACCGTGTTTAAGGTATAAGATTGTACTGACAGGTCTGTTGCTAATTCCCTTTCAGGACAAATAATTATGTGATGAGCACGATCATTTTGTTTAATATTTATTTAAACTATAGTGCAGAGTCGTTCTTGTACTGAGGTGTGTCACTTTGTTGTTATACTACCTTTGTTTGCGAGCATTATGTCATACATGTAAATTCCGTATTCCATAGAAACACTTAAGTATCCAATAAATAACGATATTAAAACTGAAATCCAAAGTGTTACGTTATTTGTAGGTATTGAAGTAAAGTAATGGTTCATTTTTTTATTGATCTGAAAATAAAAAAATAACATCACCGTCGCTTTGATAACAACACACAGTGGTTTGACAACAAGTCTATTAAACGTGTAAACACGCTATGCGTCAGATTTAAATTTAGATAAAGAAATATAAAATGTATGTTACATACAAAAAATATATATATTATAAGTATTCTATCAGTTAATCTAGCTTTCATAGTACAAGTTCTGCTTAGTTTGAAACTAGATAGCGCTGTGTTAGATTTTCGAAAATGTTATTATTGTATAATATTCCATATGATTCAGTCCAGAAGAGTGCAAGAAAGCATCGTATGCTGTACTGGACAAGTTCAATAGGGATGTCTCGTAGGACGCATCTACCCAGAGTCGTCTTTTTCTTGTAATTATGTAGCAATATTAATTCGTCGTAAAATGACGTCGTCTGCAAACAGCATGCACCATAGTGTCTTTTCCTATATTGACGATGTCAGACCGATGTCAGACAGATATGGATTAAGAGCCGATCCTTGGTGCAAGCCAACAGAGATACTGAACTGTTCCCTATTTCCTGTGACTAAACTAATATAGGTGCTGGACTCTATGTTTATAGCTCGAATCAATTCCATTTACCAAGCAGGCACTTTTTCGTATTGCAAATTCCACCATAAAACCTCTCAGGATATTTGCCTAACCTAACTCTCAGGATGTTACCTCTTTTATATTCCTTAGCAATTAAACTGACAAAACTCATTGCACCTTAAACTACTACCGTCTCTCCGAAACATTTTGGTCCATTCTGAGATTGTCTGGAAGAGATTGCTCTTAGCAGTAATGCCGCCGTTTGTCTATAACATGTCTGACATTTTAATAAATCATACTTTTTGTAAAATGGACCACAAATAAAGAGTGTTCTATCTATCTATGTAAGAAGCTTTTCAATATTCATATTGCTCGTAAAATTTCCATATTTCAAATAAATATATCTAAATTCGTCAAGTATATAATATAATATATAACCACCAAGTTTAGAGGGTATGGTTAGTTTGAGTCACAGGTATTCAAAC